CTCCCCCTCATCCTCGCCCCCCTTCTCTCCCTTTGGGGGGGGCGGCGCGAGAGCGCGGAGTTATTCGCGCTTCGCGGAGCGCGAAGCGCGAAGTTGTGAGCCTTAGAAGAGCTTGGTCGTGGCGGACTTCACGTCCGATGGCCCAACCGTACTGGAAAAGGATGCAGAGGGCGAAAGTATGCTTCGCGTGGACAAGGTTCGGGGCGCTCAGGGGGGGCATTTTCTGGCGAGCAATTCCGGAGTGCGTTGCCGCATATGTCTGCCGCGCGTTCGATTCTTAAGTTGCCGTCCAGGGGGCGCCGACGGGCATTTCAGGTTGTTTCCAGTGCTCTGTAGACATGCCCTGTGCATTCGAAGGAGCGCCAGCTCTTAGAGTCGCTTTGCGAACCTATATTTTCATCCTGCCAGGGGTATGCAACCGCCTCCCTTGGGCGAAGCGCTTGTTACTGATGGCAAGCTAATGAATTTCATGTGGCGTGTCCCCTATCAACGCACAATTGCAGTTGCTGCTCAGTTTTGCTTCGGACTCGCCAGACTGGCGCTTGACAGGGCTCAACTGGCATTCCGCGAACGGGTGGTGCTGGAGCGCGCTGGACGCGTTGCTGCCGCAAGCCGCGAAAACATGCCTAGGCTTTCATCGTTCTCCGAACGTCCTCCCATGCGCTTACGGCACCATGAAATCAACATGTGTTCAAGACGGGCTGCGGACTTGTCTCAAGCAGGGGCAGATATGCTTCAGGAGCCGGAAGGTGATTTCCAATGCTGCCCAGCCTTTGCGCCGACGGTGGCAGCATTTCCACCGGGCTTTGGAATTCGTCTTCCGTGAGTTCGGGGACAAGCGTCGAGGTCTGGACAGTGAACAGCGTTGCCAACGGCATGGAAGTCCAACGCCGAGAGGCCAGATCAGGTTGCTGTCGCACGTCTTGCGCCCACTGCCGCAGGTCCAGGGCCCACACCGCTACTTACTCTAGAGGCGGACGAACGGCGATTCTTCGAGCCTGTGAAGGCCCTGACAGCTACCCAGGCTGTTCGTACCATCGTCTCCCGTTGCCGTGGGGCCACACAGAAGGGCGTCGCAACGGTCCTGAAGAACCCGCCAAGAAAGGTTTGGCTTGGGATTCGCTTGGTCCGCGCAGCGACAGGGTTGTCCAATCTGAGCTGCGCGACCTTGTGCTCGCCATCGCGGCTTGCATGCCCATGCGCCTGCGTGCGTTGGGAGACATGGCTTTTCGCGCGCAGGGCTCCCCAATCGGGGGCGCGTTGTCAAACATGGCCGCTAGTGCTGTCTTTGGGTGGGGAGGGTTCAGATGCTGCTGCGACGCGGGCTGGAGGCGCAGCACCAGCTTTGCAACGGCCAGCGCAACCCAGGACCGCGAGTTTGTCCGCGGGCGGTACTTGGACGACGTTCTGCGGTTCAGTTTCGTGCATTGTTGGGGTTGCATGAAGGAGGCATTGGGTCTCGTATATTTAGCGCCTTCCGATGTGACCCCGCCCTCGAGCATTGCGGTCTGGCTGGATCCTCGTTTGAACGCGATCGACGCTCACTGGAGCATGGCAGTCAAGCCGCGGGTGTTTCCCCTTACGCGGGGTTCCCCTCGCGGCTGCGCTCGCGGTCTCTTGGCCGGCCGCTTGCGCTGGTGAGCCGGCATCAGCCTGTCCGAAAAGTATGGAGTCGAAGTTGGCATTCGCGTTTTGACCAGCTCCCGCGACGCACAGTGGCCCGTTCGCACGTTGCTGGCCATTGTCTTCCCCGTTGATTCCCCGTCAGCACTCTCGTCTCTGAGTCGTGCTACGCAGTGCGCGTGGCAGCGGCGGCCATGGCGGCCCCTGCGCGCCGCCGCTGTTGCGCGTCGCCCTCGGTTCCCGGCCCAGGTCCAGGGGGGGCCCCGGCGCGCCGAGCTGCCGCTCTTGCCCAGTGCGTCGCGCGACGCCTGCCACGGGGCGGCTGCGCTGCTTGGGCCGCCGGGGCTCTCGCGAGGGCAGCTGGCGGTCGCCAGCAACGGGAAGGGCGGCAAGCGCGACGAGGAGGCGCCGCGGCAGCACGGGAACCGCCACTACGACTCCAACCAGGCTGGGGCCACCGCGGCGGCGGCCATGGGCGGCTGGGGCGCATGGAGCACATGCTCGAAAAAGTGGCAAACAAGCATAAGAAAAAAAACAGGAAGGAAGAGTCTGCCCAGGACCCCAGCTCGCCCGCGCCATCGCCCGCGCCATTCTCCGACGGCCCCCGCAGGGTGCCAAAAAGGGGAACGTGAGAGGACAGCAAGAACACGCGCGGCCACAAACGAGCATACAGACAGGAAGCCAGACAGGTCTCTTGATCGCGGTCGCGCCAGTGACCACGGTGGGCCGCCCGGGGCGTTGATCAGCGCGGAGCGGAAGGAGCTGGGCGACCTCCGCGGGCAGGCGGGCGCTGCCAAGTTGCGCGAGGAGGTCTCGCCGCCCCTCCTACAGGGGCCCTCGCGCCCCAGAGAGCGGACGCGCAGCCCCCCTCGCGCGATTCGGGCCGAGACAACCGCCATTTCGGACGGCGCCCTCGAGCCCGTCGCGTCTGGCAGCGCGGCCCCCTGGGGGGCCATCGGCGCCCGAGCTGAGCGTTCCGCCGCTGCTGGAGGCCTTGGCGCTGCTCGTGCAGCTCCGCGGCAAAGGCGGCGCGGCGCCCCCCGGCCGTCGCGCAGACGCGAGCAAGGCAGCGGCTGCGCAGCTCGAGCAGGGCTGGCGGGTCGCCTCCAGAGCTGCACAGGACTGCCCCGACGGCCGCGGCCGCGGCGAAGCCTCTGTGCTGCGCGCTGCGGGCTGGCCCTTCTCTCCCGCATCTTCATGGGCTTCCAGACGGGCAAGGGCGCTTCCCAACCAGCATGGCTGCCGTCGCCCAGCGCGGCCTTCAGCACGGTCGCGCCTCGAAGGTGCTGGCGCGGGACGAGCGCCAGGCGCCCGCGATTCTCGAGGGCGTCTCCGCGACGCTACTCCTTTCAGCGAGGCCAGGTGTGGCGAGCATGGCGCTTGGCATCGCTCGGACGTGTTTTTTTCCTCGGCGACGGCCATCGAGGACCATCCTTGATCATTTAGCGAAAAAAACATGCACGAAATCGAAAAATACACGAGTAATGGACGTCCGAGCGATGGCGAGGGCGGCGCTGGCAGGCTGCTATCTCCGGGGTGAAGTTGGAGCGGCCGGCGGCATGCCTCTGCCGGGGCGGGCGCGCCTGCGGGGCCCCGCGGGGCGCGGCGTGACCAGCGGGCTGCCAAGGGGTCAGCGCCCAGCTTGGCATCGCTCGGACGTGTGCATTTTTCGTTCGGCGAGGGTCATCGAGGAGCATCCTTGATCATTTGGCGAAAAAACCACGCACGAAACCGAAAAAAAACAGGGAATGGACGCCCGAGCGATGGCGAGCCAGAGGTTTGCAACCCATCGGGTCGACAGCTTCGCCTCCGACAGCTCTCCGACGCCTGCTCGATCACCCCGGGATCCGCGGCGCCACCCTGGGCCGAGACGTCTCGGGCTGGAGCGCATGCAGATGCCAGATCCGTTGCCCGATCTTGGATGCGCCCTGCCTCTGTCCACGTTGTCCCCGACGAGCTCGGAGAGTTGCGGCGCGGAGTGGACAGGTGTCTCTCCGGTTTTGTAGCGGCGCCCGAGCTTTCGCGTCAAAACATTGGGGCTCAGATGTTGGAGTCTGCCCGCTGGCAAGCCCAGTGGCCCCTATTGGCCCCCAAACGTTGCGATTGAAGTTTCCGTCCCCCCCCCCCTCAAACATACCATTCCATTCCCCTCCATATTCAATCGAGCGACGCAGCGATCATAGTTTGGCGTAAACTGGAACATCTTGCTGAGTGTTGCATGGCCGCCTCGTGATTGCGGTGCCGTAGGGTCGTTATCACGGCAGCCTGCAACACGTCGGCCCGGGGGGGCGCCTCATAAGCAGGCGGCAAAGGGCGCACGCGGCAGACAAGGAGCTCACGGACCCCCCCCCCCAGACCTCGCACCCAGGAAAAAAAAAACGTGGTGATTGTGCAGGTTTTGGGCAGTATTCCCCCTCCTCGTGCGTTCCCTTCGCCCCTCTACTTCCCCCAGCCCTTTCTCCCTTCACCAATCGCCCATTTTCCCTGCGAGGACATAGCGAATCCAATCTCATTCACTACACCACGTCCACCAGGTTTGGGTGCTTTTTTCAATATGGACTGTTTTTCTTTTCCTCGTGCTCCTCGTCGCCCCACCGACCACGCCTGATATTTTCCCTCCGTGTCCATGACCGCCCAACCTGCCTGCAAAACTGAGAACTCCTGGAATTAACCGAGCAGATTCGTCCGCTTCGCATAGTTGTTCGATTGGCCTTCCCCCGAAATACCCACCCCCGCTCCGCACCCACCCCCAAAGCAGAGAGAGCCCCCTTGGGCCTCCGTCCCCCTCGTCATCTTATTCCTCCTCCTCCTCCTCCTCCTCCCCCCTCCTCCTCCTCCTCCTCCTCCTCCTCCTCCTCCTCCTCCTCCTCCCCCTCCTCCTCCTCCTCCTCCTCCTCCTCCTCCTCCTCCTCCTCCTCCTCTTCCTCTTCGTCCTCTTCCTCCTCCTCCTCCTCCTCCTCCCTCCATCCCTCCATCCCGCCATCCCTCCGCCACTCCTCCCTCCGCCTTCCTCCTTCCTCCCTCCTCTCTCCCTCCTCCCTTCCCGCCCCCCCCCGCCCTCCGCCCTTCGCCCCCCCCTGTCCTTCATCGCTGGGTCCTCTCGCTTCCCTTGGCAGCTCGTCGTGCTCAGGTTCGGGTAATCGGCAGTGCCTTCTAACTGACTTGGGTTATGTCGGGCGTGTCCCCCTACAGGGGGATCTTCGACGAAACATAAAACATGATACTATTTCTGGACTATGTTTTGCTTACTTTGGGGGCATGTTCTATCTTTCGTCGAAAATCCCCCTGTAGGAGGACAGGCCCGACTTAAGACTTGGGCCCTTTGGCTGCTGCGGATGTCAGACATCCCCCCGACGCCCTCCCCCCCGCGGCCAGAG